CCAGAGGTTGAGCGAGAGGAATTTTGAACATTCCGTGCAATACACTAGATGGACGTCAGAGCGCTCATTGATGGCCAGATCCCACCAGATCTCCTAAGCCAATGTATTTATGAAGTCTTGCGAGCCTTCTATACTTTGTATAGATACTTTAAATAATGTCCATGATACGCTTCGTGCCCCGTAGCTGCCATGCTATGCGCAACTTTGCTAGAGCGTTACAGGAAATCTGCCTCACCGTGACCATGCAAGACCGGCATTGCGCTAGCGCCTGTTGGCTCGCAGAGAGCAGTATTTGCAGACCGTGCATACTGCCTCATCGAGTGTCGGTGGTCAAGTGCCCGGAGACGGCCTGACATGGCTCAGGTCCCCTCCGAGAGCCAATATCCCATTACGTCTGCCCTGCCTGACTTCCTCCAACTTTCGGACGGCGACGATGTCGAGACAGGCACCCAGAAGACTTGCAATGCGCCTCGTGCACGATTAATTCTGTTAGTACTGACTTGTTTCGCTCGAGCTGCCACACCTTGTCCTCACTCCCAGCCCAAAATGTACGGACGCACGATCGACGCTCGGCTGTAGCCGTCGGGAGACGCGGGCTTGATCGGCATCACTTGTGACAAACCGTGACAGAAATTACTGTAGCGATATGACCAAAAGTTCAGGTCACGGCCACGGGGCCTCTGAACAGGCCGAGGTTGAACTGGTGATCACGGTCACGAGAAGCCGATGAACCGGTTGCGAATTAGCGTGACTCGGGCGCTTTTAAATATATTCGGCATTTTTTCCCGAATTTTGATCGTCGCACAAGCTCAATGTTGTCTTCGGAGCACACAATTAGCCCATGAACTACTCAACTAGAACTACATATATTGCAAGAAATATCCTCCCCCTCGCCAGTTTCGTGTGCACGGTCTGTGTTATCAGGCCAATCAACACCTAGGACGGCCTTGGCAAGGGCAACCAATGTGTCATCCACTGCACGAGGATATCTAGAGGGAGATACACTGTTAGAATGTGCTCCTTGGCAATATACACGGGGTAATGCTCGCATCGGAGCAGTAGTCCGGCAGTCACAGATATCCGGATATACCGCTTCGTCCTCGCGCGGGCGAAGGTGCGAGAACCCTTCTTAAGCCCAAGAGTTCGGCCTAATACACACGTACTCCCGACGGCGGCCTTGCCCAACGCGGCCTGCGCCCGCCTTAGTCGCGGTTGGGTCACTGAATCGAGGTCACGGTCACAAAAGGTCTCTGAACTCTGAACTGACCAGGTTTCAAGTGTCACGGGTCACAGGGCCTGAACTGTTGGTCGTATCGCTACAGTATCAACACTGGTCCACAGCCGAGCTGTCTCGCCGCAACACCTCCTATGCACTCATCTCTCAGAATTTAGATCGCGAAAAAATATACGTCAATACTACGAGGTTTGTTGCACTTGGTTATCTCCTTTGTGGAGGCAAATGTTGAGTGAGCCTGCAGGAACAGACGAAATACGTGAAATTATTATCAAAAGGGGTTCAGGGATGGTATCTAAAAAGTCTCGCATGACGACAGCAACGGCTAGCTTGCGCTCATCTACTAGTACCACTACCATGGTTGCGCAGATACCTCGCTCCGCCGGCGCACCAGAATACACTGCGCACGCGACGCAGTGCTTTTTCAGAGAATGGGATTCACGAGTCCTGATCGACGGCACCCAGCACAAGCTTCTCGTGCTCCGCCGACCGGGGGCGTATCTCGCACCGAAACGGTTTTGGCAACCTGTCCATCGCAGTCAGTCGTCCCACTCTCACGAGAAGAACCCGGCAACAGTGAAAAAGAGGTCATACGCACTGTATAAACCCGTAGTCATACTCTCCCGGCGGCACAATCTCGCGCCCGGCCTCGTCCTTCGCTTTCACAATGTCGAACGCGGCCACCACCGACGCGATGGTGATCCACAGCATCTCGTGTGCGAGGTGTCGCCCCGCGCAGATGCGCCGACCGAAGCCGTAGGCTGCGTCGGGGTCCGGCTCGGGAGTGGGATTCGTGTCGCTGCGCAGGAAGCGGGAGGGGCAGAAGGACTCAGGGTCGGCGTAGACGGCTGGGTCGTGTAATATCGCCCTGCAGCGTTCGCACAGTGAGCGGATGGGACAAGAGCAAGGAGCAGAAGGCGCACCAGATGTTTGCGACGACGAGCGAGCCTTTCGGGATGTAGTAGCCTCTGTAGACGTCGTCTTGCGCAGAGGCGTGCACGATGTCTGCGGGGCCATCAGTAAGCAGCTGTCGTCATGCGGTCGTGTGGAGTCACTGACTGAGAGGCACGGCAGGGTTCCACCGCAGGATCTCCTTGACAATGGCGTGCATATATGGCAGGGCGTCGTAGTCCGAGAAGTCGGGCAGGCGTCCGTGGCATACGCTGTCGATCTCACGCTGGGCTTCCTTCTGCACATCAGGGTAGAGTGCCATAGCGAGGAAGAACGAATGGAGGACGGACATGGTCTGCACAGAAAGTAGGTCAGTGTTTTCAACGTTTGTCAGATAAGAGCTACTTGCCGTGTCGATACCAGCTGTGAGTGTATTCAGCGCCGGATTTACTGGTTTTGAGAACGAGTATACCCACCTGAATATGCTGCTGCCAAGGCCGAACGGACGACGTACTCCATATATGTGGGATCGGTAGAGGAGGGGATGACATCAGCCAGGAAGGATTTCGCCGCACAGTCGTCGGGTAGCTCGTTGGCATCCTACATGCGAGTGTACTCAGGATATTATATCACAGTATGTCTGGCAGAAGGGAACGCACTTGCAGGTTCTTCGCCAGCGTAAATGGCACATGGAGCAGCTTGTGGACAGACTTACGCCACACCTTTGCTTTTCGCTGGAACCCTGCGCCGGGGAACCATGCTGGGATGTATTTCACTGTGGGCGATGTCGTTCCGTTAGCAAGTCCTTTTGCGAGACTAGAACATTGTCTCACTTATGGGGAAGTAGTCGACGAGGAACTGGCCAGGATTCATCGCGGCAACTACTGCTTCGAGTCCGTGCTCCACAGTTACAATCAGAGGATCGTCATAATTCTTCGTCTTGACCCCGTAAGCACTGTATATCAGATCTTGGCCGAGTGCACTTTGCAGGACTCAGTACGGCGCAAAGGTGGGATTCAGCCGGGGCTCACTATTTAGCGTGCCGGAAGAAGTCTTCTGGAGACGCGAGCAAGTTATGCAAGAACGTCTGAGCTGTCTGCGTCTCGGTCCGCCGGTAGCGCCTAATGGCCTGCGGGTGATATTCGCGCTGAAAGACCTTCCGCTGCTCACGCCAGTACTTGCCTGGCTGCGCGAAGGAGATCGCCCAGTCAAAGCCACAGCTAGCACCGAACATTCAGAAGTCAATACCGAGCGCGCACAGGACGGCGAGTTGTGCATACAGGTCTCGCATCATCGTCACCCCATGGATCGCTCGGTTGGAGTATGTCAGCGAACGCTTATCGAGCAGGTCCGCGGACGCTTCGAGCGTGTTTGTCACGACGATATTCGTGCCCAGCACGTTGATGTGGACGATGTCTGAGCCTGCCTAGAGTCAATGGACGAATTCCAGAGAATGTCAAAGCACACACTGTACTCTTCGCTCCACCGTCGGTACTCCTTGTAAGAAGGCTCATCGGGGACCTTCAGGTTTCCAATGATAGGCCAGCCAGGTGGTCCCGGTGGATAAGGCGGGAGACGTCGTCTGATAGTGTAAACATAGAGCGCGAACGCCAAGACGAAGGCTGCGATGTAGAACACGGTGGTCAAGGAGTCGGCGACCATCTGACCGGGCTGAGGAGGATGACAGGTTTTGTCCCGGTATACATCTATCAAGCATCGAGAGCAGTATATATCACTGTTCACAACATCAGCTAAAGGGCCCGAAGAACATCGGACACAGGAACCATGTTCGAGCGCTAGAATCGGACCATAAGAGCGGGAGCTTATCATGTGTATCGTCTTCCCAGTGGTATGTATTGGACGGCGCCGCTTTTGGAGCAAGATAGGAGGGATTACGTCCACAGAAGTAGTTTCGTACCCATCCTGTCCTCGACACTAGCCAGATGACTGCCCGGCCCTCGTGACAATCTTATGGCGCTCTCGTGCCCAAGTGACCCAAAGCGCGCTTTCGTGATACGAAATATCATGTTGTATATATGTTGTCTTGTCGGCTCCAGAGACCGCTGAGGACAGCGCATCCTGTATGTCAAGTTGGGTTCCCTGGGTGAATACCTGCCTGTTTGACTGGTAGTAAGGTAACTGTTCTCCGAGCTACTGTACGCGTGGGCTGAGGAGTGTTAGCTAATAGCCGCGTCTTGATAGTAAGAGA